TTGCGTAGAATCACTACCTGTCGCCAGCAATGTTAAGTATATAGAGACAAGAAATTTAAAGAATATGGACATGAACCTTTTCATTACTGTCGCCTCTTCTCTCTACTGGTTAGATGTGATCCATCATCCTGATATTAATTCTAAAGTTGAGTATTTGAATAAACTAATTCTATTTGTTCTAGATGCATGTGCTCCTCTGAAATACAAGAAGGTATTCAAAAGGACTCTCTCTTGGATAACACCGAACATACGTCTCATGATGAAACTAAGAGATAAAGCTTATTTCAGTTATAAAAACTTAAAAAAGAAAAATTCTAGCAAAGAAGTCATTGAACAAAAATGGACTTATTACAAACAATTACGAAATTTAGTAACTGCATCCGTCCGTAGAGAGAAGGCTTACGTTGAGTATCAATTAAAGCAAAAGCGTAATTCTCGTAGCTGGTGGAAATGTATCAAGCAGATAGGTATACATGGTAATAAAAATAAGTTTAACGTCTGCCCTTTTGAACCAGACTCTGTCAATAATTTCTTTATAAATTCTATTCCAAATAGCACAATAGATGAATTACTACTAGTGTACTATGAAAATCACAAGCATCGTTCTGTTGATGTTGATTTTAACTTCACTTTAATATCTCAGCAAATCATATTTGACGAGTTTATGAAAATAAAATCAAATTGTGCAGATCATGATCAACTGAGCCTAAGTATATTGGACCTTGGTTTAGGCACTTTTACTGTGTGAAGGATGTATTCCTCCATTCCGACGTGGATAATTTCGGTTATCGAAAAACAGACAGCCGACGCATTCGCGTCAGTGAAACAGACATCTCTCCGAGGAAAGCTAGAGAAGTCTCTGAGCCCGTCCTAATCGGCATGTCCGTAAGGCCAAGTTTTGTGGCCTGTACGAGTTTCTGCTGTCACAGCGGGTTCTGACCGAAACCTAACCTCCACAACACAGTGGTCTGAGTTGCCCAGGGGGGACAGGACAGCAGTGCTGTAAGGGACAGGATGCGTGGTCAAAAGAGATCCAGCAGGCTAGTGGCGTGTGACGAGATGCGGGGAAAAAAAGTAGGGCTCGTCACCAGCTGGGTCAGCCCTTGAGTAGAGCGAACGCTTCGACTGCACGACCTGCTGCATCGGTCTTGTTTGAGCCCAACCAAAGCTCATTATGGGCATTGAAATCACCGAGAAGAACTACCTCTGAAGCGGGGTGATTGATGTTCAAGGAGTCATCTGGACGGCGAGGTATTCGAGTAGGCCATCCCAGTTATGGTCCGAGGGAGAGCGATAAAGGCAGCAGATAAATTTGGGTGATGTTTTGGAGTAGAGGCGAAGCCACAGAATGTCCTGCCAACCTGATTCCAAAGAAACATCTCTGGAGTAGGAAAGACTGCTGCGGACAAAAGCCACAACTCCCCCGTTCTTTCTCAGATTGGAGTGCACCTCGTAGTTTGGGAAGTTAAGATGGTTAATCTCTGAGATTTTTGTCTCCGCCAAGGAAAGCACGGAGGGACGATTGGATTGCAGGTAGTGATGAACAGCATCAATTTTGCTGTTAATCCCGCAGATGTTCGAAGCAAGTAAAGTAACATAGTGGACGCAAATTTAAAAGCTGACATAAACACTCATTTGCAAGCGCTGGAAGACGAGTTTCGCCGATACTATCGAGACATAAATTCTGAGTCAACAATATTGCACATAACAAGAAATCCATTTGTTGTCGATGTGTCACAATTACCAGAAGAAGTTCAGGAAGAATTTCTAGAAATGAAGGCTGATTCGTCCATGAAAGATGACTTCCATTTTTAACATTGGAGAAAATTTGGATCAAAAGATTGCCTGTTAATTCGACACTTGCCTCTCTTGTTTTACCGATACTAGTTGCTTTTTCTTCAATTCACTTATGTGAGACAGGGTCTAGTTGCAACTAAAGCTAAACAGCGAAATCGTCTTGATATCGATAGCGACCTGATGATAGCTCTGACAAAAACAGAACCTAGAATCAACCAACTGGTACAGAACATGCAATCTCAAGTGTCTCATTAGCACCTACTCTTATTTTATTCAAGTTTTTTGATAAAAAACATTTATTAGTTCATTTAAACTTTTAAAGTTTCTTTATTAGAATTAAAATAAAAGTCTTTGTATCTATATAATTTTGTATTTATTGAAAAGTTAATGGAGGGCATGACAATATAATTTATAGTCCGAGGAGCCTCAACAAAAAAAAGGTTGGGAAACCCTGATCTAAGGCTTCAGTTATTGATAATTTATAGTATGGCGTGCCACTTAAAAAAATGCGTGAGGTGGTGGATGAGACTTTACGAATTTCTTCTTACACAGTCGAGCCCCTGTAATCCGGGGCCCCTGGGGCATTGATGCGGCTGATATGGCGGTAGCTACGACCCTGGGTCCTACAAAAACTAATTTTTAGCAAGGCTCATGTTTCACGTACATATAAAATATTTTTAATTTTCAGTTTGCAGGTACGGAATATTCGAAAATAAGCCATGTGTATGCGTAGAAGGTACCATTTCAATTTACTTGACACTATTTTTTTCACAAAATTTATTAACAATAACATTCATACTCAAGGCAATTTTAATGTTTTAAAATCGATAGACATAGTTGGCTCAAAAAAGTCCTGGGACAATTTAATTACTTTTTATCCCGAAGAGCTTTTTACTTTTCACGCCTACTGGTAAGGTTGTATTGTAATCGCGCAAAATTTCGAAAATATTGTTTTTTGGATGTTATATGACATGCACGTCATGAAAAACCATGTCGGTCTGTCCGCTAATCTTATAACCGCCTATAACTTGAGAAATGCCTCTCGGATTTTGATGCAATTACACCATGTCACTTCTATGCCAAGGACGCAAAAGCTTTGTAGTTTTCTTCAGAATCCGTTCAGTGGTGGCAAAGAAAGAGGCCTAAAACTACATAAATTAAAATCGCTCAAACTTAATTTTTTGGGGTTAATTTTGAAAAAAATGGTACTTTTATACGCTCCCAACTACGCACCTATTAGACATATTTCACACATCATAGATTTCTCTATAGATTAGCCCTGAAAAAATTCTCAGGGGACGGATCGCGTACCTATCGGTCGCGACTGCTGTGTTGGCGTCGTTCGCCGACCGTGATAACTGTTCTGTTATCGAATAACGCGTATGTCTGCCGCACAACAGCATAGTATTTTCTATACTCTGCCCGAGTTAGGTATCGGGGAGAGATGACGCGTTCTGATCAGCGGCGGCTCGTGGTCTATGATACAGGGGGTTCACAAGTGGTATGAAATGAAAGGACATATTTTTTGTTATTTTTATTCCTATTAACACAAGAAAATATATTTATAATAAAATACAAGTTTTTTAATGAGTACAGTGTTTAAACGTAAAGTCCATTCGATTGTATTTGCAGAAAATTTATCAATAACAGCCTCGTTAAAGTTTGGAATACCCGCTATACATTTTTTTCGATAGATAGCATTGCTAGGGCTGACAGTCTTTCTTCATTCATAGAACTTCGCAAAAATGTTTTTATTCTCTTCAATGTCAAAAGCATCTTTCACTTTCGGCCGTAGTCATTGGTATGGTAACAATTATTTGTAAAAGTGTAAAGGTGGCAAAAATATGCTCTGGAGATTATTTTCTATAAAAAACTGTAACATACTAATGGCACCACTCATATTTCTGAAATCAGGTCGCCGGTAAATTAATTCCAATTAAATTAGAATCTTGTAGCATACGGCCAATACCCAGTGGCTTGATTGATGGTAACAGATTGTTTGAAGTAGCTTCTATTTTTTCTATGCATTCTATTAAACAATTCGCGATATTCATAATACTGTTTTATAGATCTGCTTTTAAAATTCCATCTTGTAACAGAAGACCTAGAACTCTTGCACCAACAATTTCATCCAAAACTGCAACTCGTTGTGGAGAATGAGAAAAAAGTTGAAATATCGCTTAAATTTGAAAAAATACACGCGTACTTCTTGATTTGACTTGTAGCTTGCGATAAAATAAAATTTAGCTGGTGGGCATAACAATGAACGAAATAAGCATAAATATAATCACGTTGAATAAGAGCTTGAAGACCTCCATGACGTCCGCTCATTACACTAGCGCCGTCATAACTTTGAGCTAGCAGTTTCTCTGGTTTATCTAGCACTTGTATTAAATTAGTTTTTCACACATTCTGAGAGACTAACTGCATCGTGGTCAGGGGGGGGGGGAGGGTTAACAAAATTCCCAAACACGTTCAACTTGCCTTCCATCTGGTATAATGTACCTAAATCTGTAGTCATTTGATAACAATTAGCTACATCCGTTTATTTCGTCAGCCATAACAGCAACAAATTCAGCTTCCAAAATTCTTTTCTTATATTTTCATGAGCCCACTTGTAACATAAATCTAAACAATTCGTTTTGCATGATTTTGATATCCCTTTGAATACTGTAGATTTTTCAAAATGATCTTTAAGTGCTATATCTAATTCGGCAGTGAAATTTATGAAACCTCTAAAAATACCGGGATTTTTGAACCATCTTTTTCGTCGTGACCGCGGAGGGCTACTTCAAAGATCCGCAAAATTTTATGCAATCAATAATTTTTGAAAGTACATACCTATTCTTTCTACCTTTTTCATTTTGCTGTTGAATACTGCGCCTATATGCACTGGCCAACTGCTGCCGTATATCTACTTTTCCCAAAAGCTGCATTTCCCACGTGCGCATTGGTATTGACTTGAGTGTTTTCATGTTTCTTAATTTTTTGTACTAAATGTCCCACGTCGGCTAATCCATTTTTTGTCCAGGCAGGCTCTGCCAACCCCGCGACCAAACAACAAACAGGAAAAACAAAACAAACGGTTTGTTGTGCTGCATCCACATATCCAGTTACATTTTTTTTTATACTCCAGCTACCACGAAGGCCTAAGGCCTAAACACCCATGGGTACCGTGGGGCTATAGGGGGATACAGTGGAAAGGGGGGGGACGCCACACGGACTCTGGCGAGGGAACACGTGTGCATGCAACATGCACACATTCTGCTCCGCCTACGAGATCCGCCGGGTGGTCCCTCCGCGTTCGACAGTCAGAGACCGTCTACCACCTACGGACAATCACAACATCCATAGTCAAGAGAAAATGTCTCCTGGGACGGGACTCGAACCCGCACAGCGCACGGCGACTGATCAGGAGACCGAAGAGTCTTACTACTGCGGCCACCGCTGCTGCCTAATTTTCATAGATTTCCATTTTAAACTTTCTAATAAAGTCCTCTAGATTTACCTTTGTGGTTTTAAACTCAATATCTCATTAAAATACTGCTACGAACATAAAAGTTCGAACACACCTCCAATTACTGCATAAAATGCACGCGCAACGGACAATGGCGCACTCCAGAAGTGTGGGTCTTTTCCAACTAAAATTGCGATAACCCCGCTATACCCCGCAACCAGAACAGCAGGGAGAGAAACACACTAATCCCGCGTACATGATCGCATAATGCGACTATTCGTCGTCATCCGTCGTCACCCGTCGGCGGCAGTCGGCCGGGCCAGTCCGAATCGCCCGAATCAGGCAGCGCAGCGGTAAGGGTGGTGACTGGTGACTCACACGATTAAATATCAGGGAGGCTCAGACTTTGAGAAATTATTAAATGGATATTATACATATTTTTATTATTTATTTTAGGGTGCACGTGCTCATGTGCTCCTACAGTGGAACCGCCACTGGTTCTGATGCACCACCGGTAGGGCAGGGAAAAATATGTATGGACTAATTGTATAGACCTGCTTGACTGACTTTTTCCTCTGAGAGTCTAGTTTGTGCTGAACATATTCCTCTACGTACTGATAAGGGCGTTGCCTGGGAAGTCGAGAGTTAACCTATTTGACGCCATCTGTTTGTATTGAAGAAGTTGCGTGAGATGATGGATGAGACCTTACGATTTATTCCTTACATAGTTCGTCCTACAGCACGGCTATTATGTAAAAACCCGATAAAATGTAAAAAACAACGAAATGTCATCTTGCAGACTAGGTAGTTTTTGTAAGCGTTGATCTATGGAAGAATGACTCAGCTGCGCGCATTGTTGGTTGCAGAAAGCTAGTATACTCGAATGTTTGTGAATCCGAGTGGTCTGTAGTCTGAGGGGATGTGGAAGAATGAAGTTGGTGGAGTAGCAAGATCACATCTGGATGATTTTGTGTATTGGTGTACATGGAGTAATATCTATTAGCTGTGCCCGACGAGTTATTTATATGTTGTCCTTTCGGTATACGGGTTATAATCAAAGTTATAAATTACGATAGCTCCCGCTTTTTTGTGTTTTCAAAAACTTTTTGATTATGGAAATCGCCACTGCGCCGCGTTGTGTGCAATTAAGCCACATCACAGTAAAATTAGGAATGACGCATCATACTTCAAACATTTGCGCAGTGTCTCATGTCTAGACGCTGATTTGTATTTTCTATTGACATCGCAAAATAAATTTCTAGACTGAACTGGAAATAAAAAAAAAATGTAGTAAATAACCCCTTCACTTTCATAAATATTACTGTCTGTAGCATATTTTCTCACCTGTTACTTCACCAACCCGGGATTTCTCGTCTTTTCTTTCTCATTTTGGAATTCAGCAAATTTGCGTATGTAATTTCCACAATGATTTGACTGGTCTAATTCGAAAGGAAGCTATTAAGGTAACCCCTGAATTAATTGTCATTGTACTTGATAAGGGGTGGGGCAATGGAGTCCGAAAAACAATAACTGTAATCATGAAATTGTTTTTATTGAAACAAATAATGAATACAATTTATTCCCTGCAAACAACTAAAAACCAAACAACATGTCACTGCTTCGAGGTATCTTCTTCCAAACAAATCCTCTTGTTATCAGTCAGCAAAAAGCATATCAGCGTTATCCACTACTTTACATGGTTCAATGATGATATTTGCCGAGTCTGTTTGAGCATTGCCGAATAGATCAAACGTTTCCGGAAAAAGTGGTATATCTTCAGCTGCCGCATTGGTCATATCCTTAGTCAGTTGCAATTCCTGAACGTCGCCTAATTTTTCATCTTCGCCTATCACTTGATATTGCAGACCATCCTTCTGAAGATTCTGGAGAGCTTCGTCAGTAACAGTGACGAAACTTTCATCACTGGTCTTGAACAGTATCTTCACACTAGAGTTGGCTTCATTTCCCAATAGATCCTTTATCTTATCAGCAGTAAGTTCTTCAGAGCTACTGGGTATGGTCGACTGAATGACATTGTTCGACACATTTGGGTCAGTGGGCAAAACACTTGACCAGCACCAAATCCTACTGTGGGATGCGAGATGAAATTCTCAACTGTGTCTCTGAGCAAGTTTCGTCAATGATGAAGTATTAGCATGTGGCGCAGATACGATCTCTTTTGTCAGGTTAGCAATAGCCGATCTACTAGCCTCGGCTTCTTTAACACATGCTCGGTGTTCACTTCTATACGGAGCTTTCTATCGTCTTTGTTGGGAATGTACAGATTGCTGGACGAAACTGGCGCAGGGTATTTGGGCTTTTTGGAGAGAAACTGGGGCTTGGGAATCACTATCATGTCGGCTGAAAAAGAAAAAGCAAACGTAAAAGGCGACATTTGAAGGACGATAATCGACTTATGAGAAAGAATACTGCTTTATACAGTACTTCGAAGTTGAGTCATTTATTTTAACAGTGAGTAGATCTGATTAAGGAAATGTTTTTTCCTTTACCATTTTTCTGGTAAAATTAAAGTAACAAAGTTATAGCCCTTTGGAAGTTTGAGTACCGCCCTGTCTCAATGATAATATTATGTGCTCGTGTTGGCGACAACGGATATAATCCGCCGTATCGGTTCATCGCATCGGAAACAAAAAAGCGAAAGAATTTTGAACGATGTTTTTACAATTATTTCATTCATTTGTATACAGTCAGTGTCAATGAATAGTGGTATCTGTTGCGTGGCTCAAACGAAATAAAAATGAAACATGTTTATGCGGATCGGTTTCCCAATCGAGTGCAACCAACCCCTCGTGCCTTTGTTAATGTAGTACAACCGGCTCGTGAATCAGGTGACTTAAGACCTCACAGGGGACCTCACGATCAAATACAGGTCCGCACTGAAATACTTGTCGGGAGGATACTTTATAAAACAAGGTAAATTTTTTTTTTTTATTTTTTTTTTATTTTTACACACATATTTTGGTTTATCTTCCTTCTACAATCATTATCTGAAAATTAATGACTCAACTTCAAGGTCACCCTGTATAGTGCAAGGGACCAGGATTTATGTCAGGGGTCACAGGATTTATGTTCAGGAGAATTTTTGTCTCCGGAGGGGAAGGGGTGTGTCTTATTCACTGAGCCATTCTGGGGTTTTGAAGTACAACACCCTTATTATTTTGGTACAGTTTTCTAAATTATGGAACCGTTACTGGTTTACTCGTATTGAAAATTTGCGACCTGAAAACCACGAATATTAAAAAAAAACGGTGGATGTTATCAGAATCAAACAATTCTTGAAACAACCACAGGTAGTATTACAATGATGTAGATGGAACAGTACGTTATAATTTCCAAAAATACTATTTTCTAGGCATTATTATACAAAGGTGTAAAAATTAGCAATATATTGCGTTTATGGCTCTCTGGCGAGCTAAATGAGTTGATAGTTTTAGTTGGATCATCACTTATGTTCTAACACAGCGTAGCTCAAAACTGACAAGTTTTTAAACGACCAAATTTCCTATCGAATGACACGCATGATATCGCCATTTTTTGAGTTACGCGATGTTAAAACTTAAGCGGCGATATATATACGTACATATATACACATGTATAAGAAAAACATATTTCCAACGCCGTTTCCTTTAGGGTCCTATTTTTCCGGAATCAAGAGGTGTTTCGCAAATCGAGAGGATCAAATATAATAGTTTCAGAATAGTCCCAAGAGTCACACATTAAATGCTTGCCCCATATTTGGGAAACACCATGTTAATGATAAACTAAGACAATATATCATACTGAGTAAAAAATAAAACAGTCAAAAGTATTAAGTAATGCATAAGCTTTTGAGCTGATAGATGAAGAGTGCGAGATTTGATCACTCTTACGGTTAGATAACTTGATGCATACTTTTTATTATCTCCTTTCATTCAGATGAGACTGCTTTTCTCTGATTTTTGTCCATCAAAATGTGTTTTTATCAAGTTTGCTCACAGGGTCAAAGGCGCGCGCGAAAAGGATTTTTCTTATATTCCCGTCCGAATGTCTAATTTTCGATTAACTACCTTATTCACAGAACACATAACGCACTAACGGACATACAGTACTACCAAGCCGAAACATGCAGAAAACTCTATTTTATTCATATTTGCGTCGAGCAGAACGAATAGGCAACCAGACTTACGCACACTCTTATTTCCACGCAAGCATCGTTGTGCTTACTAATTGATCAGGGTTACCAGGTGTGGTGATTTTTCACCAAAATATCCCTCATTTTGGTCTATCTTTCCATGCATGTTGCATCCGAATTCGGACTAGGCCGAAGGAGCCAGTCAAGGATTTTTTGTCTCCTAATTTTCATAATCTGTAGTATGTATACTACAAGTGCACTTGACGTAAGTAAA